CCTTTATCTTGCAGTTCTATGGAAAATAGCTTTCTATTCTTGCCCAGATTCTTTTATTGTTTAAGAAATATATAATACATGACTGTTTTGGTTGCAGTACTCAAGTGACTATTTTCTAAAATTGGGCAGAGAACACTTTGAGTCACTCAGTATAATGACATTTTCCTCTCAAATACTATTGTTAACATTTCTCCAAGAGACCCATGGAAATGTAGGATTCACGAACAAGAATGGCAATCAACAATTTTTATAGATCATTATAGCAGAGTCCCCTCCTATGAACCCCCTTTGTGAATCTGAATATCTTGTATATTTTCATATATATATATATATATATATATATATATATATATATATATAATAACCTAAAAAAAAGACAGAATACAGTGATATTGTATTTGGGAGTCCTGTAGATTCCACATTGAAATCATCCTCTATTAAGAGATCGATAGGACATGTTAACTTTGAAAACTTTTCATATTGTTTGTGAAAAGAGAAAAATGGACAATACTTTCATTTTATTTTACGTGTTTAAATATTTGTTCATGCACCATGTATATGTGTACTCCCCAAGCCCAGAAGAGGGCATCAGATCCCCTGGAACCGGTGTTTCAGACAGTGTGATCCACTATGTGGATGCTGAGAATTGAACTTAGGTCCTCTGCAAGATCAGCCAGTGCCCTTCTCTGCTAAGCAATCTCTCTATCACTGATAGGTGACCTTTAAAACAAAGCAAAGCAAAACTACAGCAACAATAACAAAACACCTCTTTCATTTTAAATTTTGGTGCTTTCTTAAGATGCTTTAAGGGAAATACATCATCATTTGTTGATAACTTTCTTATCTTCTCTTTAAACATTCTCCTAAAATAATGAAATGTTCTAAGGAAAGGTGGTAAAGGCACATCTATAGCCCTTGATATTAAACCGATATTTCCATACCCACTCCTCAAAGACATTTGTGTAGCAAATCAAGCACATAGTCAGTTATGGTGGTTCATTCTTCAATCCCAGCCCAAAGACTAGGCAGGCATGGATCCTGAGGCAGAATATTTTCATGAATTCAAGGCCAGCCTTTGCTGCAGTTTGAGGCCCTGTTTCAAAACAAAAAGAATTGAGAGCATATTAGTTGTTCCTTCGATTATGTGGAAATATGTGTACTTGCTTTGGAAGTTGGTTGTCTTATAGTCATTTAATATCTCTTTCTACTCTTTCTACTATTTCTAATATCTCTTTCTATTCATATGATTAAATCAAGTACTTGTTATCTGTGACTACTTTGAGGGAATAAGAGTTTATTTTGCATGTTGAGTAACCATGGCCCAGGAACACACATTTACCTTACCCCAAATTCCATGCTCCAAATTGGAAGCAGTTTCATGAAATTGTATAGTTTTATAGAACAAAGAATGTCATAAATCGAAGTAAGTTTAGAATGCATTGGTGGCTCCACCAGAAAAAGGCAGTTACAGCAAGATGGGGGAAGCTTTTCTATAGACCCATGATACTACCCGATGACATTGTTAGCTTCCGATTTAGTGGAAGCTAGGATCCACTAAATTAATGTGTTCTATTTTCCTTCCAAAAGTGCATTTAAAATGTAAGGGAAACTGTATGAAGCACTTCCTTTTTATCCAAGTGAAAACTTCCTGTGGGGTGGAGTAACTGAAGACAGCCAGGCTGCTGAACCTTGCTTGTATCTCAGTTTTGTGATTGCATTAGGCAACTCTCACCTGCAGACTCTGTGGCTATAACATTTATATGAGGTGCCAAGTCTGCAGTTTTATACTCCATAGGCAGAGAACACATCTGCCCGATCCACAGGGTGAAGTGGGAGTGAATTCCTATAGTGTTCAGAACTATTGGCAGTCATTCTGCATCAGAAAAAGTAGCAAAGTTATTCAGACATTGAAATACATTTTGTTAATGCATCTGTGGTTATTACTGATTGTACCAAATAGCTAACCAATGGGGCAACATTTTCACAATCAGAAGAGCTAACAAAACCCCAAATCTTTCCTCTATTTATTTGTAAGATAACATTAATTAAAATACCCCATTCAAATTATGTCTTACATTCCAATTGTGAGATGTATAGACTATTTCTGGGATATTCTGTAAAAAGTAAATCTTATTATTAAATGCATAATTTATGACTCCTAATTAATCATCTTGGTCTCTTTCAGACAAGCTTTAGGTGTATCCTTGAAGTGTGCTTCTGTTTTCTTCTTTGTAAAAATAAGTCTAATTCAGACTTTTCTCCAAATAGCTTTCCTTGAAATTTATCAAAAGCATGCCTCACAAAAGGGAATTTGGGGCAACGAATTAAATGAAAAACCTAATTAGATCGGTTTGATCTTAACCAAAGCTGAAGACTGTGTGCTTTCTCTCTCCCATGGAGAGATCGTCTATGGAAAATATTTCCAACTCTTCTGTCCTCCACCATTGACTGCCATGAGATGCTCATCTTTGTTCACTCCTGGGTCATATCTTGAATTATCATTTAAATACTTATCAAATTACATAATTGGAAATGTCCAATGTGTTTTGTGTTGTGAAGCCTCAGTAACTCACATTCTAGCAAAAGAATACTAATATGGCCTGTTTCCTTTTCTTTAAGTTAGTTCTCAGAGTTTAGCCCAGCTTCCTGAAAATAACTTAATGGGGAACCCCTGTGAATTTGTTTTGTTTTTTATTCCTAAGAATCCCTAGTGTTTAGAAAATTTGCTTTAAGTATCATCATGAATGATGAAGCCTATGCTATCTTGTCTCTATCACTATGAGAGTTCATGGAACATGGTGCCTTGGTTTTTAATCAGATGCTGTGGTTGTTTTTCTGGATTTTATGACCCTGTATGTTATTTCCCCGCATTAGGATATGAGGTTGCCCTGCTTCAGTTCAGCAATTTGCATTGCCCCCCCCCGAAATTTTAAGTGAAGTGCAATCAATAGTGGAGAGATGCTATTTGCTGACAGCCACACTATCCTAATCTTCAGTTGAAATCCTTTATGCTTCCACAATTCTACCCAAACACTGAGCTCCTCCACCTGTTGGGAAACCCTTCTGTGGGTGCATTGGATTAGTTTGTTGTTGTTTGACACAGGGCCTATCCATATAGTCCTGGGTTCCCTGGAGCTTGCTATGTATACCAGGCTGGCTTTGAACTCACAGAGATCCTCCTGCCTCTGCCTCCCAAGTGCTGGGATTAAAGACAAGAGCCACATATCTTGCTTGGATTAGTTTTTTAAAAATAACTAACCTGCAAGACTTCAACATGAAACTTAGATCTTTCTTATGATGTTAGGGAGAGGCCAGCTGCTGGGTAAACTGGCAGAGTATATTTTCCTGTGGCTATTGGCTCTATCAAAGTCAGGAATCAGCAGATCCAAAGGCATCTGTTGTTTCAGACCGCCAAACCCTTCCTAGTTTCACTGTCAGCCAGAAATAGAGATAAACACAGAGCAGACCCATAAGTGACCCTGAGCAAGACATCCTGATTGTCCCTGCTGTTGGAAACTGGTATTTATTGGGAATAATAGTACATTCATCCAGTGACTGGTGAATCCCAAACTGCAGATATAGTCCCTTGGATAGAGTCTGTGCCTATCAAGCACAAATTCCTGGGTTCAGTCTTAGCACCATAGAAACAAGACATGGTGGTACACACCTGTCATCTCAGCACTTGAGAGGTAGAGACTGAGAACCTATAGGTGTTAGCCTTGTCTACAGACATTATCGTGTCTATCCCATGATAATGGGACCCCATAAAAATAAAAATGAATAAAGAGGAGAAGAAAAATGCATTCCTGGAAGCCACTCCTTCTTAGAACCCTGGGGAATTAGACAGTTATTACACATACCCAAAGGCAGTTGAAATACTAGAGAAGTTATTTGAGACCACTTGAGAAAAATTCTGTTGTGTTTTTTCTGCATATCAATTTTAATAACAGATATAATTGATTAAACTGACCATTAAATTGATAGACTGGATTGTGCTGATAAGCTAGACTCGGGCAGGCTGCATTCCATATGTTGCATCTCTGCCCGACAATCCTAAGAAACAGTTACACACAAATGCCAAAGGATTTGGTCCAAAGGTCCTGGCTCTCTGCAGCATTTAAAAATTAGTATTCTACATTCTAGGTGTGACTGAAAGAAATTTCCTCTGCCCAGCAGAGGGAAGCAATATAATTTTCACTGCAGAGGTGGCTGAGCTTCCTGGAATCATCTCCTTTGTTGTTCTTAAACCACTGTCTCTACCAAGTCACCTTCTCCTCCAGTTCCTCATATAATTGGTCTGTTTCATTTAATTCATTTTCCTCAAGTTCTCTTAATATATTTTCCATGGTGTGTTACCAAAGACACAGCCTATATAAACTCACTGGATGCTTCCCAATCATTTGGATGCACTGACACTGTTACCATCTCTAGGTCTGACCCATGTCACTTCTCTCATTTTGGAATATTCCCACCTGGTATTTACATGTCAGATTATATTCATCTTTCAAGAATCTGCTTGTAGTCTCGGCTTCAAGAAATCCTTTTCTTTCTTTCAGCAACAGTAATTTCTTTCAGTTCAATGTAATGTGACTCTTGAGAGATATTTCTCTAGGTAATCATAGTTTGGACAATCATATGGTCTCTGTAAACCCTCCAGAAATGACTTTCCTTCCAGAGCTGCAGGACTAGAGGATAGCCCTATTCATTTCTTTGCAACATCTCTTCCAAACACTTCATTAAGTTAAAAATAAATAAATTATTAAA